GGATGGCTTTGCAGCTGGCTGATATTTTGGCCAGTAACCTTTGTTTGAATGACTAGCTGCTGCATTCCTGACCATACTAAGTTAAACACATTATTTAGACAGACAGTACATTGTGCAAGGCAAGGATGAAATGCAAGAGTAGCTGGAGGCTGCTCATCTTCTTTGGAAGTAAAAAGCAAAGACAACCAGCATCCTTTATGACTGTTCAGAGTGAGCTCCTGAAGATTAACTTCAGCCTCTTCCTTCCAGTCATAACTATACAGGTGGTTTGGGGGCAGGGGGATTATAACAAGGCTAATACCTGTCTTGCCTGATCAAATTTACACTTCAAAATTTTTTATATGTGGTCTCTTAAACACTTACAGTTAGGTGAGGGCAACTGACTTTTATCTGCAAGTCTTCTGTCTAATTTTGGTATAATTTAAGCAAAGTGAAATACCTTTCTGTGAAAGCCCTGCAAGCAAAATGGCAATGTGCAGTTCCCTCTGTATCTGCCCAGACATCATTGATTTTATGGAAACTTTCAGTAATCCAACCCCCAAATTTATAGCCATTCATCTATAAACCTCTTCTTGTCTAATTATTATGAGAATATACATAGACCTTCATTAAAACTATGGCAAAGAGCAAGCAAGGAAGATCCTAAATGATCTCTATATAGAAAGATGTACAGCAATGTAAGAGAGAGAGGCAGGGGCTGTAGTTACTGTTCCAATAAAATTACTTCTTCAGTGCTGAAAGAAACTGTCTTTTTCACTGAGTTTTCACCTCAGTATCAAAACTTTTAGAAAGTGCATGGAAGGGTGTCCATAATGTAGAAGAAAGAGGTTTATGAGTGAGCAGAATAGAGCACAGGCAGCTCACAGCAGCCATGCAGCAGCAGGTTGGAAGCTGGCGGCTCAAAAGATTAGAGAGAAGTCATAGGAGTAACACTGGCAGCGGGCGGATAATGCCAGCAGTTCACAAACCTGTGCTGGTGGGTGGCTGAATTATCCTCGCTTCTGCCTCATATCCCCCAAACAAACCAAACCACAGAAGCCCCTCCAGCTGACGGAGAATTTGTATAAACTTTAGTGTCATAAATCCCCTGTGTTTCACTGAAGCCTTATGGATATGTAGCACACACCTGGAAATTGAAGTCATTTTCTTAGGAATAGAACAGAACAGAACAGGACTAGACGATTTCAGTCAGAAGGAGCCTACAACTATCATCTAGTCCAACTGCCTGACCACTTCCGGGCTGACCAAAAGTTAAGCATGTTATTAAGGCCATTGTCCAAATGCCTCCAGCAATCTCCCATTGCTGGAGGAAGAGAGACAGAAAGCAGCATCTGGGATTTGGGTTGGTTTATGGTAGGTCTACCTTTGCTGCAAAGTTCCCTCCCCACCCCCCAAATTCTTGATGGTTCAATAAAAGATGATAAATTAGCCTCCCTCGCTCGACGGTATTTCAAGTTTCTTTCCTTGCTCGGGGCCGTCAGGAAGAGCTGCGCCTCTCAGCTTCCCGACGGGCTCCCTTTTGCATTGTTTTCCCAGCTGCTCCCATCCCCTGGCATTTAGTGTCAGCTGAGGATGCTGCAGCGTAGCTGGGAAGAAAAACAGAGCTGAAGGACTACAGTGGTCATTAAGAAAAATAACAGCTTAGAGAGTGCAGGCTGAAAAAATATAATTATGAAGCCGTTTGCTATTCAAGCAGAGACAACTTCCAGTGCTGATAACATTATTTATCACTTGTATAGCACTTCAGACACAGTCACTAATTAATCCTTGCGACACATCTGGAAGTTATGCCAGGGTATTACTGTCTGCCCCTTTTACTGTGCAAGGAAACAGAGACGTTAAGAGCCCAAAGAAGTAAAGGTCAAAACAAGCACTAAAGCAGAGAGATGCTCAGTCCCAGCTCACTGCTTGTATCACAGACAATTTCTTTCCGTAGGGTGGTGAAAACCAAAGGGGATCCTTTACCCCTCCCACTATAACCACAAGCCTGTACAACACAAATCACGCGAAAAAGAGAAAAATGTCTCAGTGTTGTTAGACAAACTCATTGCACAAAGGTAGTAGAGACCTTTGTTTAATCCGGCGCTACAGGCAATCCCCATACCTCGGGGAATGGGGCAGGGGACTGCTCTCCGTCTCCCAGGACAAATCTGCCCTTGGGTTTTCTGCCACGGAGGCGGGCTGCTCTGCCTGCCGCCCGCTGGGCAGGAGACTGTTTTGTCCCTACACAACCGTGAGAACCGAAACCAGACTGCTGGCAAAGGGGAACAAGACAGCACATCATCTTATCACTCAGGATAACACCGCTTGAGGGGAAATACTGCCAAAAATAGGCAAGAAAACTGGGGGAGAAAAAACCAGAAACACTTGAGAGCCTGTCTGAGCACCCTGGCAGTTAGTGAGCACTATCTTCCAGAATTAGCCTATTCCTTCTATTTAATAGGGAGAGAGGGAGCTGGTTCTTTCTTTGTTTAATTTGTGTTAAGCTTTTTCTTTTAATGGCAAAACCTAGACAGCAGAAGCAGAGGCGATGGAAGCTAGATGAGGGTGCTGGTTTAAGCTGGGGTCATCTGAGCAAAGACTTTTGGCAACGAGCAAAACTGTTCTTGCTCTCTCGAAGTATAGTTCATTTGCCAGAACAGCCTCATTTTGCACGTTCTGCGTGCTGATACCTAACACAGTATAATAGAGTTCACATCGGTATCAACAAGACCACAAAAAAATGCTGTAACACCCCAGGTTTGCAACCCAGCTGGTGTGATGCTGTCTCCAAAATCTCATGTGAGGGATGTGCAAGGGAAGCTATGGGCTGGAGCAGGGCTGGAAGTTTCCCCTTCACCTCTCATCATTAGGAAGCTGCCTGCAGTGTGAGATCCCCAGCTAAACCTGGGTTTTATCCCCAGCTACGGCTCACCCCAGAGAGCCCTGCTTGGAGGTCCCTTGTTCCAGCGAGCTGCTCCAGCGTTGAGCTCTGCGGCCTCATTTTAAGCCTCTCCTTCAATACCTCTGTTGTGGTTTAGCCCCAGCCAGCAACTCAGCACCACGCAGCCGCTCGCTCACTCCCCCTGCCCTGATGGGATGGGGGAGAGAATCGGAGGAGTAAGAGTGAGAAACACTCCTGGGTTGAGATAAGAACAGTTTAATAATTGAAATAAACTAAAATAGGAATGCTAATAGTAACAGTATAATAATGATAATAATAATAATGATACACGAAGCAAGTGATGCACAATGCAATTGCTCACCACCCGCTGACCGATACCCAGACAGTTCCCGAGCAGCGATCGCTGCTCCCTGACCAACCCCCCCCAGTTTCTATACTGAGCATGACGTCATATGGTATGGAATAGCCCTTTGGTCAGTTTGGATCAACTATTCTGGCTGTGCCCCCTCCCAGCTTCTGGTGCACCTGGCAGAGCATGGGAAGCTGCAAAGTCCTTGACTAGCATAAGCAGTACTCAGCAACAACTAACAACATCAGTGTGTTATCAACATTCTTCTCCTACTAAATCCAAAACACAGCACTCCCCCGCCCACTAGAAAGAAAATTAACTCTATCCCAGCCGAAACCAGGACACTCACGTTTGCTGTCACTGGGTTCATCTGAGAGTGCTTTGCGAGAAAATTAACTCTATCCCAGCCGAAACCAGGACACTCACATTTGCTGTCACTGGGTTCATCTGAGAGTGCTTTGCACCTGTGTTTCAGTACCCCACGACTAGCAGCTCCCGATTTAATCTTTTGTTCCTGGGTAAACGATGATGAGCTTTTCAATTTCTCTTCAAATCAGTTCTTCTGTGTCCCTAATGATTCTTGGCACTTATCGTTGAATGTTTTCTGATTTGCTTTAAAGTCTTTTTATGTGTCTATCTGTTCATCTAACCATCCATGCCCTAGAAAGACATTTCTGCAGAAACTGCCAGGATTTCAATCCAAATTTACTTGTAAATTAAACAGAAACATGCTTGAAAAATTATTCACAGCTTCTATTTTTTTATCGTAGCCCCAAAGATCCAAGAATCCTAATTGGCTTGTAAGCATAATTCTGATCTTACACTTGATACTTGTGAATTTATGCCTTTTATCAGTTATCTTTTCCCTTTTTGTTAATTACTTTTTGCTTAAAGGAATTGTTTTGTCTCTGTTTTTTGGCACACCCTCTCCTTCCATTTGGAAGATGCTTACTCCTTTTCTCTTCTTAGTTGGGCACACACTGTGTAGTGAAAATATTAAGCCTGTTATCAGAATATATTCTTTATGTACTTCTGAGCAGCTGACCTGAGTGGCAGGATTTCTCCTTTACTGATGGTGACAGTCAAAGGCAACATATGACCTAAGGAAACCAGCCCCCTGTAAATTGTTGTGCAAGTTCTGGTAGAAGCGAGATGCAGAGAGAGGGGAAATGTTGCCAAAAATAGGAAAGGAAACCAGGGGAGAAACCCAGAAACACTTGAGAGCCAGGTCTTGACCTTACGAGCAACAGAATTGACTCCTGTTTGGCTTCTAGCCATTTTTGGCAATACAGATGTACGTCTTCTTCCTAAGCACCATTTAAAATTAATGACAGTATAATTGTTAAATATTGACCTTGGAAAGAAACCTATCATATTAACAAAACTAATCAGCACTTGCTTGAATAAATCATCACCGTTGTCCTTCCCCTCGCCCTGCCGGACTGTGTGCCAGTGCTTTTTCATTTGTTGCTATTGAATGGCAGCAAATGACTTTGTCACCATGCTTCCAACCAGCCCCTTCAGCTGGTGCCAACTGCGATCTCACCGTGACAGCAGCTGTTGGACTGAAAACAAATGCTCAAACTTCTCAGGTGATTGCCCTTGGTGTCGTACCTGCTTAAATGCCACCTTGTTGCCAAGAGAAAAGCTCTTTACCTCGGGGATTGCTAGGGGAGCTAACAATCAAAGAACGAATACAAATCATCTCTCAACGTAATGACCTTTTTACCTGGACTCGATGCACAACCACCGCGGCGCGGTACTTACTTCCGGTCCCAGTTTCTCCAGGAGATGGTGAAAAAAATTGTTAAGCTCCTTCCCTTCTATGTAACCGTTGTCTAAATAAAAGTCAAATATATTAATGGTCAGGCGCTACTGCTTGAGCGCTGGGAACCAGGTCGTGTGCGGCGTGCAGGGGGCTCCAGGCTGCATGGTTGGGGTCTCCGCTGGGGGCCCTGCCTGCCCCCTCGGGGGGGTTCCTATTCAATTGGATCAGTTCATGTCTAGGTGGGTGCTCCCTTGGGAGTTTTCCTTACAGAAAACTTTTCAGGACAAAACAAACAAAAAAAAAAACCAAAACCAAAACACATGGGGACAGCAAGAGGGAATAGCAGAAGGAACGGGGAGGTGGTGAAAACGCATAAATGGGGGGGGTTCAGACCTGATATTAGGGTGTGAGGGGGAGGAAGGGGGGCTCTGAAACACCTGCTGGACCCCGTGGGGGTGAAGTTTGGATGCTCTGGCAGGCACCCACTCGTGCAGGCACCCATCCAGGCACCCACCATCAACGCGCAC